ACTTCTATAATTGCTGTATTAACAGTATACGTAAATTCCATGTAAAGTTTTTTGCTGAAAGACTTTTTCTTGCGTTGATCTTGATAAGCATGCAATTTCCTGGTTCCATATCATTGTACATGTATGCCAAATCATATCAGTAAAAAAACATAATTCAGAAGTACTTAAGAACTTTTTACAGAAGAAGTTCAGTTATTATTATACCCCCAAAAACGAAGTTTGGGGGGGTATATAGGAGTCACCCGGTGGTCGGTCGGTCGGTTGGTCGGTCGGGCGGTCGGTCGGTCGGTCGGTCGGTCCAGACGTCCGTTGCATTTTCCTTGTCCGGAGCATAACTTGAAGACTAATAATTGGAATTCAATATAACTACACACAATGGTCAAGCACATTGAGAGGAAGTGCAGTGCACAAGAACCATAACTCTATCTTGACTAATTACAGAGTTATTGCCCTTTGTTACTTTTCCTTGTCCGGGGCATAACTTGAAAACTACTGGTTGGAATTCAAAACAACTTCATACAATTGTCAAACACAATAAGGGGAAGTGCAGTGCACAAGAACCATAACTCTATCTAAGGTAATTACAGAGTTATTGCCCTTTGTTACTTTTCCATTGCTTTCTTTTGTCCGGACCATAACTTGAAGACTAATGGTTGGAATTTAATATAACTACATACAATGGTCAAGCACATTGAGAGGAAGTGCAGTGCACAAGAACCATAACTCTATCTTGACTAATTACAGAGTTATTGCCCTTTGTTTCTTTTCCTTGTCCGGGGCATAACTTGAAAACTACTGGTTGGAATTCAAAACAACTTCATACAATTGTCAAACACAATAAGGGGAAGTGCAGTGCACAAGAACCATAACTCTATCTAAAGTAATTATAGAGTTATTGCCCTTTGTTACTTTTCCATTGCTTTCTTTTGTCGGGACCATAACTTGAAGACATATTGATGGAATTCATTATAACTTAATACAATGGTCAAGCACATTGAGAGGAAGTGCAGTGCACAAGCACCATAACTCCATCTTGACTTATTACAGAGTTACTGCCCTTTGTTACTTTTCTTTGTCCAGACTACTGTTTGAAATTCAATACAACTTCATACAGTTGTCAAGGACATTAAAAGGAAGTGCAGTGCACAAGAGCCATAACTCCATTTTGACAAAATACAAAGTTACTGCCCTTTGATACTTTTCCTTGTCCGGAGCATAACTTAAAACATACTGGTTGGAATTCAAAACAACTTCATACAATGGTCAAGCACAATAAGAGGAAGTACAGTGCACAAGAACTATAACTCCATCTTCAGTATTTATAGAGTTATTGCCCTTTGTTTCTTTTCCTTGTTTTTCTGGACTTATTACAGAGTACATTGTAATTCAATAATTCTTCATCAATTGCCAACCACATTGAAAGGAAATGCAACATACAAGAACCACAACTATCTTTAATTGCCCACAACCATAACTCTATATTTCAATTCTTTTACAAGGTATTCTGTTACTAGTAACATCCTCATTTCTGAAGCAGTTTGTGGGGGTATTAATCACATTTAGTGATAGTTCTAGTTTTATTTTAGAATAATAAAAATCTTTTTAGAATTGTTATCCATTGATTTCTAATGACATATATGTATGTTCAAAGCTCACAAATGAGATTGAATTCAAAAGTTGTTGAAAGAGTTTTCAGAAGAAAACATTAAGTTATTATTTGACTGTTATTAAAATAATTAATACTCTTGAGTCCTTTTTGAGTCCTCCTGAGCAGTTTTAAACTACAATAATTCTTAAGTACATGTCTGTATTCTGTTGTATGATAGAAGAAAAAACACAGCTGCATAAAAGAAAATCAAACTTAAACATATGTGCTAACAAAGGCAGTAAGGGCTTTTTTTGCATATATTTTGACATCCTTTTGGTAATTTTCATGGATTGCCATTTGCAATGTGTAAATTACATTATTTGTTTCACTTCAAAATATTTTACTTTTAAATACATTTTTAAAACGTTCATTAAAAATTATCATGAATCTGGAGGAGCATGCTGCTTTAATAAAGAAGTACATGTACATGTCCTTGGAAAAAATGTTTAGTTACTACATGTATATGATTCTAAAAAACTTAAAACTGAACTTCCATTTTCAGTTCACATTCATATAAATCATTTACTATGTTTTTACTTAAATCAAATAACTGTTCATAAAATGAAAATGTGATATCATGTGATATACATGTATTTAGTTACCAAAGTCTGCAACCATCTTTGTAAACAAACACTTCGGTGAAAATTTATACATATATTTCGTTTTCTAAGCTGAAGTTTTCCCAAGAATTGTATAACTGCTGCACCTGTATTTGCAATAAAGCTGCGGGAACTCAATTATTAGGTAGAAATCTTAAGATTTACTGATATTTGTATTCAATGTATTGTAAAAGAAAAAAAACAACAAACATGAAAAACATTACCAGTGTAATATAAAGTTTGTTTCTTGTAGATGTGTATTAAACCTTCTTGATTCTACTATAAAATGATATTTTTATAAACCCCTGACATGTTTTTTAAAATGTTTAAACAAGAACTATAACGATGATTCTAAGTTAGTTAACCATAAGTTGTTTTTTTAATAGTTTTGTTAAATTTACTTTTCTGCGGAGAACACTGATAGAAATGTCTAAGGGATAAGGGCTTTCAGTAATAAGGCTGCACATATATTCAGGCTCTCCTGGCTCTGTACTGGTAACATAGACACGGCTTCCATTAGTGGAAGTTTGAGAGTCATATACTCCTGATTTTGGCTTGTGAACTCCAAAATTTAGGGCATTTCTTAAAAAAATATAAGATTTAATTGACAAGAGTAGGCGAAACATTTGTCAGCCATTCTTAACTCTTGTCATTTTCACATTGACATTGTCAAGGTCAATTTGTCAGCCATTCTTAACTCTTGTCATTTTCATATTGACATTGTCAAGGTTGATTTGTCAGCCATTCTTAACTCTTGTCATTTTCATATTGACATTGTCAATGTCGATTTGTCAGCCATTTTTAACTCTTGTCATTTTCACATTGACATTGTCAAGGTTGTTTGTCAGTTTGACGTTTTACTGGTGTAGAAAATTATATCTTGAGTGGTAGAACCATATATCGTTGATGACTTAAATTGTTTTAAACTTTATTTCATGAAAAAAAATGTCTGAGTGGCTAGATTCAAACCTGATATTCATTGCGGGTAAGAAGATTAAAAGTCGGCGACCTTTAAGCCACTTGTATATAGACTAAGAGGCACCCAACTAAACAAAGAAAAGAGAAGAGAAATACTGATTGTTGTTTCTTTCAGAAGATAGCCTAGATTTTGATTAAATCATTCAATCATTTACTTTGTGAGAAACATTTTTGTGGTGAAACTCTATGATTGATATGTCGACTTTATTGTAGTTCCAAGTCTTTGTCTTGGAGGTGATACTGATTTACTAAAACACATATTCTTCATTTCGTGGCAGATCATTATTTCCTAGATACAAAAAGCACCTCATAATATGAGAAAACTTTGGTATTAAGGAGAAAATGGAATTAATTGAAGAGTACCTCAGATTGCATTCAGCTGTTGCATTGCACTGAATATGCACTGTTATTAATGCACTTGTTTGTGGCATTTGATGGCGTTACTTGTAAATGGTGGGTTGTGTAAAAATTGATTACAAGGTGTTTTTTTGTATTGACAAAATGTTACATTAATTAAATGCCATGTGGAAGATAAAGATGAGAATAAGAAATAACAAGAGAATGTTATAAGTTTAATTTCTATCAAATATGATATCACAACACAATAATTAAATGCTCATCACTGGCCAGAGATAGGGAAATTTGGATGAAACTGTCAATAGGGAAATTTGGATGAAACTGTCAACCTTAGGACTGAACAGCCAATTTATTGTCACAGTATTGTCACAATTGATTCACTTTGCAAAGACCTTTACCCTGATGGAACCATAAGAGATTTAAACCTTTGCCATCATTATAGAGCCAGGCCTTAGACTACACATCCATGCACTCTGACCAGGTTTAATATTGTTCATGTAGATTCTCCTTAAAATGGTATAGGACAGCTTGAAAAATGAAAGTTGGTCATGTCCATTCAAGAAATGCAGCAAGTTAAGGGTTAAATTTGCAGCAGTCCTTAGTATTTACATTCAGTAACAAATGTATACCATAGTATATAGTACTATATTTAAGGGTCAATTTTGAAATATTATTGATACTTCATTGATTTTCTACATCTGATTCAATATCATTTCACAACTTAGAAATTTTCATTAACTGGTCTGTTTCTGAAAAAGGTCTTTGAATACTTCCTTATCATGCATGACAAGGTGCAGTTGTTAGACAAGGGGCATATTATTCTTAAAGCAATATTTTTTAAGTAAGGCTCATTTTCAATTTAAAATTTTTTGTCAAAATTGGTTATTGACAGCCACAGTGTTAACACTTTGTGCAGTGCTCTTGTGATAATTATATCGTTGATTTGCAGCTTTCAGTTTATCAATACAAAAATGAAAATTTTCAATCAATGACAGCTTTTAAGGATCATATTATCTAACTAGCTTGTGGTCGAGTGAGTTTAAGTCATTAACTTCATAATACTTTCCTTTCAAGGAGATTTGTGACTCCTTGAATATGGTATTGCAAGACCATGCATATATTTTGACATGATGTCATAAGTGTTAAGATTAGCTTAAGGTTGAAGTGTTACACTTAAGGCGCGTCAATGAAACACTTAAGGTGCATCATTGAATTAATAAAATTTGATTTGCTTCTTCATTAAATTCAGTATTGACCCTGCACTCATTCAATATCCTCTTTTAATCTCATAATGAAATATTAATATGAATAAGAAATATGCTAGACATTACACTACACCAGTTTTATGGGTATAGGTATATATATATATACCTGTTCTGGCTTGGCTTATCAGTTTTGTAAATGTAGTTTGTGAGGGTATATACGGTATCTGTGCAGATTCTATGTGTGTGTACGATAAAGAAAAGATACGCCTTGCTTTTCTGTAGACTTCTACTTCATATATTGGCTTACAGGTAACTCCACAATCAAGTTTTTTGGCCAGATATGTTGCTCAGTTGGAAATTTGTGTGTGTATGAAAATATATCATATATAAAAATGTGCGAAGGATAAGGAAAAAGTTTTGTTTTCTTTCCTGGTTTTGGAATGGGGATTTATAGTTTAGAAAGTATGATGTTTGACAGAATGACTTATTCTAAACGAAGGAACTCATGCCCACCACAAGCATTTGGGTATGCTAACGGTCAGGACTGGCAAAGTCTACTGGCTCAACATGGACGGTACTGGCAGAATTCAGTGTGGAATAATAACTGGTCTAGAAACAGTAAGTGTGCTGATTAACTTTTCCTTCTTGCACTGTGTAGATACAAGAACCCCAGAGACAGATTTCATTTCTGCATTTTGTTTGCAATGCTTTACTTGCAAGAAAGTGCTCTCTATGCAATGATAAGAATGTAGTGTTGATAAGAAGTGATAAGAAGAGCAGTGGAGTTTTCATACCTATAAACTATTACACATATTAACCCTTTCACTGCCATAGGGACGGCTTAAGCCGTCCCCGTTATTTTCGGCGTATTTGCCATATGGACGGCATTAGCCGTTTCTATAATAATGATAGTTATAATAATAAATTAATAATAATAATAATAATATAAATAATAAATATAAAGAAAATCATACCATCGACAATAATTATAATTATACTCACATATTTGGAAACATATATAACTATTATAATACTAATAACAAATGATAATAATTATATTAATTAACAATATAATTTCTTAGAAAACCCTCTGGCAAAAAAGGTAATCCATAAAACAATAACCCTCTGGCAGCGAAAGGGTTAACCTGTTGTAGTAGACTATTCCTGCTTTGTGTTCAGAACTGTCCATTGCTAGTTACAGGGAATTTAATATCAAAATATGATGTATAAGTTGACAACAGGACAGAAAGTAAACAAACTGCAATTACATTATTAGCCATAACCCTTTTAGAACCTAAGTGATTAGCCTTTGCCCCCCCCCCCCCCCCCCCCCCCCCCAGTAAAGAGCTTGGCCAGCCTTCACATCTTACCATCTTGTCTATATAAAAAAAGCCCTAAAGCGCACAATTTGTTGGGCTACTTAACAGGCTTTTATATTTTTGATATCTCAGGGTTTTTTTGTAAATTGATATTGAAATCCCTTAAATCTTTGAATTAACTGTTCCAATTCCAAAGCTGGCCATGTCCATTATGCAAATTCAGCAGTTTAAGTGTTAATGCTTGCCTTAAGTTCCTGTTCAGTGTGACTTTACAATAGGTCTGAATTGTTGAATATTGTAATTTGGACCTTGTACTGGCTCTATTATTGTAATAGTTTTAGGCAGTTTAGTTTGAAAATATTTTATATCTATAATTATGAAGTTACTTTCCAAACATCCATAAGTGTGTCCAGTTTAGTGTGTAGATATTAAGTCCAATTTCTCTGGGTTAAGTCACCTTTGGGGCTTATCGTGCCTATAAAAGTGCATGCTACTCTGATAAAGTTAACCTGAGGTCTTCATCTACAAGCTAGTTATTAGTTAAGCATGACACTTGACCCTAGCTGGAACCTCAATAAATAACAATAACATAGAAAGATGTTCAGATGCACAGGTGTTAATTGTGATAATATGAGGCTCTTCTGGTTTCAAGATTACTTATTGTTTCTGCTGTTAGATAGGAAATAAAATAAAACTCAAAATTGCTGACAGCATTATAAAGCCATATGTGACATGTTTTATTTGTTATTATCTCTTTAATCTAATATTGTTCATTGTCATAATGAGAAAGGGGTATTGTATGGTATCTCGTATTTTATCTTGCTTGTTAATGATAAGTGTGGTTATCTCACTGACTGAAGCCATATAGCCTGCTGTAAACAAAAACGATTAGAATTAAATGTCACATTATATTGCCAGGTCATCCTTTCACATTCTGTGCAGTCTGAACTGAGGCCCTATACCCAACAGTAGTGATATTTTAGTATTTTGTTGTTGAAATCCCTTACACTTTGATTGGAAGGTTCCAATTCCAAAGTTGAGCCAATCCATTGCACAAGTTTAGCAGGTAAGCATGAAATTTGTACCTGTGACAGGTTTCCTGTCTTAAAATAAAATGTCTCTGTAAAATAGGGCATTAGCTTGCATATATAATGATTTAGACTTACAAAGTTATTATTTTGCTTTTGCTGGCAAGATTAAACTTGCAAAATAATTTTAAAGATGTTGATGCAAGTTTGAGAAAGTTTTGTTTGGAAGTTTGTGATAAAGTTAAGAATTTTTTAAGCCAATTAGGGCTTGTATTTCTTTCAAAACATCTGTGTAAATAACAGTTTCATCAGAGTTATCAAGAAAGGATGGTAGCAAAGTCCAGATTTTTGATAAAATGGTCTAACAGATTTGAACTGTAAACCCTTGAAATCCATTTTTTTCTAGAAAATATTGGATACAGCACTGGCAAACTAGCTCAGCAACTCAGCAATTGGTCATTAGGTAGACAAGAATCAGCATGGCAAATATAATTGGTTGATTTCTATCAAACTTTGTTATCTGTCCATACCACAGAGGAGATTACATGCTTTGATTACAACAAGTACATGCTCAGGTATACACATGGAGTTAACTTGTGTATGCGGCATTGCCATGAACTTACGACTTTAGTGCATTAGACTTAGTCTTGGAAAGTTTGCAACAGTACAGTCTGACCGAGGTTTATACAACAACAGTGACATTGTTATATAGGACAAAGGTCTGACTGACTTATATACAATGTAGGACTGTGGTCTTAGTGTGTTATGTAAGATATTTGCCTGACAGATTTATATGGAACAATGGTCTGCGCAAGTTAAAAAGGACAAAAGTCTGACAGAGTTATATATTAGGTCAAAGGTCTGATGAAGTAAAATAGGACAATGGTCTGACTGAATAATATAGGACATTGGGCTGACTGGGTTATATAGGACAAAGCTCTGACATAGTTGTATTACTTGTATACAATGTAGGACTATGGTCTTTAAGTCTGTTATTAGGATATTTGCCTGACAGATTTATATAGAACAATGGTCTGAGTGAGTTATATAGCACAATGGTCTAAGTGAGTTATATAGGACAAAAGTCTGACAGAGTTATATAGGACAAAGGTCTGATGGAGTAAAATAGGACAATGGTCTGACTGAATAATATAGGACATTGGACTGACTAGGTTGTATAGGACAAAGCTCTGACAGAGTTGTATAGGACAAGGGTCTAACAGAGTTGTACAGGAAAAAGGTCTGACAGAGTTGTATAGGACAATGGTCTTAAAGTTGTATAGGACAATGGTCTGACAGAGTTATATAGGATAATTTCTGACAGAGTTGTATAGGACAATGGTCTGACAGAGTTGTATAGGACAAAGGTCTGACAGAGTTATATAGGACAAAGTTCTGACAGAGTTATATAGGATAATTGTCTAACAGAGTTGTATAGGACAATTGTCTAACAGAGTTATATAGGATAATTTCTAACAGAGTTATATAGGACAAAGGTCTGACAGACTTGTATAGGACAAAGGTCTGACAGAGTTGTTTAGGACAAAGGTCTGACAGAGTTGTATAGGACAAAGTTCTGACAGAGTTGTATAGGACAGTTGTCTTACAGGTACATAGGACAAAAGTCTGACAGATTTATATAAGACTAAAGTCTGACAGAGTTATATACAATAGTTTATTATATCTATCTGAGTTAAAAGTATTTCAAAGAAATATTTCATATTTTTTTATTTATTACATTGTATGTACATTATATTGAACAATCTATAATTTAGTTATTGTATCAAACAAAATGATCATTAACATAACAGCTGTGTTACAGCTGGTGGGAACATGATATGTCTCGTGCTATAGAATTCATGTCACTGATATGTGTTCATAATATAATATTATATCCTTAATCTTTTCTACTATGTTAAAGATTTCATGATTTTAGCTATTAGAGGCTTTTATTATAAGAATTGATAATAACTTTGATGAAATAGTGTGCCACAAGCAAGAATTAATACAGCTTTTTTGTATAGGATAGTGTTTGTTAGTCAGTATTAATGAAATTTAATATGTGTGGCCATTAAGGGTGGGCGACAGATTTAATAGACTTAATACTGACTTTACAAACACTAACATACTTAGTGGTTGAAATTATGTTTTGATTGTTTACACTGAGAACATTTAAGCTACTAATTAAGAATTATCTGCCCTTGAAATAAGCTAAGAAATGTAAATTCAAGTGCAGACAACTTCAAAGTAAGTCAGCAACCCCTGAAATATGTTTCGCTTAAAATGATTTGTTGTCATATACATGGAGACCATGCAAAGTGTAAAATTTCGATGCTGCCTTATAATAATTATGTTTATATGAAAATCTTAGTGAACTTCTTAAAAGAAAGGAGAAGGTACTAGCTGTCAGTTTAAACAAAGTGTAAAAGCTGTATGCAACTTTCTGTAATTTATTATTTTGGCAAATTTACTGAACTTATTTCCAGACATGTTCGACATGATTCTCTCAGAGAATGTATCTGTAAGAACTGTTTTGTGTTTTTCGTTCATCACTTATTAGATTATTACACATACAATGTGCCACTTATTAAGATGTTAAGATAGGTAAAAAAACAGGTTGTAATTAAATTATTTCTAGAGATACCTTGATTTTTTATGTTACTATAGGTACTGTCTTACACATATTATTTTGGGAAGAATGAAAACGTGATCAAGTAGAGGAGAGGGGCAGTTTACACAGTTTACAGCAAGATATCTTATAAAATGATAATCAATACATCTCCAATTTGGAATAGATATACTAAATTAAACCCTTAAAACCCTAAATATCGTAATTGGACCTGTCCATCTTTCATTCTGGACACAACCATTCATCATAATTAGGGAAAATTTCATAGCAATTACTGACTGGAAAGCAATTAGTGTAGACACAGGTTAGTGGTTAGACCACACATTATATTATGTGCCAGCTGATCTTGGTCTGCACTGGTCCCATGGGTAGACTTAGTTGCTGCCAACAGGCTACAGGGTATAATTAAATAAATACTGTCAGAATTTCATATTCGGCTATCATCTCTACATCACTTTTAGCTATTGTGTTTATTTTACTGTAAACACCATTTATAACAATAACGCTTATAATGTTATACCCCTTATAACGATTATGTTGCAGCAGTTCTGACTTTTGTTTTCAAATTGGTTTCCTCTTGTATATAACGAAATCTGGATATAATGATATAAATTTGGCGGTCCCCTGAATATCGTTATGAAG